TTTTTTTTTTAATCAATTTGTGATAAAAAATCTTTTGATTTGGTATTTTCCCTGGCCTGGGTACCAGAGGTTGCCAAACAATTATGTAATGACAGTATGTTGTTGTTGTTATGTGCCGTCGAGTCGGCCCCGACTCATAGCGACCCCTCCTTGGGTTTCCGAGGCAGTATCACTACGGAAGTAGGATTGCCCAACTTTCCTTCCGAGGAGTGGCTGGTGGGTTTGAACCGCCAGCCTTCTGGTTAGCAGTCAAGTGCCTTAGCCACTATGCTACCAGAGCTCCAATGACAGTATACATCCAATCATTAAAATATTATCTACTTGATGTAAGAAACATACTGTATTTATACTGTCATGGGTCACTTAACGGCCACAATATGTTCTGTGAAATAGGATGTTATGTGAATTGGATGTTGTATGAACAACATATTATGTGTAAGCATTATGCAGATTCTATTCCTAAATCTGTGTTTAAGTTGAGTGTGTTAGGTCAGAATAGTTAGTCATGGTTTGTATGTAAGGTCAGTCAAGTGTTTGTATAGTATAAAGTATATGTCTCTACATAAAGACATGAAAGAAACACTTCCAGATACACTAAGACAGCTTTAAGGTAATAATACAGTAATAACGGTAACAGTTATAACATGTCTGAAGTATGTGAGATGAAAAAAAAAGAGGTAGACCCTCAACAAGATGGATTGGCGCAGTGGCTGCAACAGTGGGCTCAAACATGGAAATGAATGTGGTGCAGGGCTGGGTAGTGTTTTGTTCTGTTGTACATGGAGTTGCCAGGAGTGGGAACCATCTCAGTGGTGCATAACAAGAACAATGAGTTTTTTGATGTGTGTTGCCAAGTAGTGCCCATTTGTTATTAAAAACCATTGCATATACCTCAAATTTTTAATATAATAGGCTTTACAGGGGTTGGGACCATGACTGTGTATGCTGTCATATGTTCCTTCAAAAACGACATGGAGCTGACATCTTCTGACCTCCTCTAACTTCACAAGAGGAAGGCAGAATCACCATCCACAGCCCAAAGCTTATTCCTATGAGACCAGACATGCTGCCACCCTCCAGCCTTTTACCAATTCTGACATCAACCATCCTTCCATGGTACTCAATGCTTCTCTGCTGGGTTCGATAATTCATTGCAGTGGCCACACAGAATTCAGACAATACTCATGACTATGGGGTTTATTAGGGAAGTAACAGGCTACAGTGCAGGTTTAGAAACATGCTCAGGATACAATTCTTTGATCAGGACAGTCTCCTCTCTGCTATGTGCTCAGATGTGCCTCTATGGCCCTTGGCCTCTGCCATGCTTGGGCAAGCATTACAAAGCTCTTTAACTCTGCCAATAGGTACACCTAAGTGCACCCCACTCCGTCAGCAAGGCCCCTGCCCTTGGGTACTCAGCTTTCTTGCTCTGTGAGCCAGGTAATCCTGCTGCTTTGTCTCGTGGCTCTTGGTTCCACTGTGACCGTCTGTCTTCGGGTGTCACTCTCTGCCAGGCGTCTCTCTGCTGGGGCATCTCTCTCTGCTGGGGTGTCTCTCTCTGCCATGTGTCTCTGCCAAGAAGGTCCAGTGCAGGGATCTCTGGTTCAAGGACACACTCTACTTCACCTCCAACTCTTCTTTCTTGATGGCAGTGAGCTCCCCTCTCTGCCTCTAGAAGGGCTCATTTTAAGCCTGGCAGAGTGACAAAACTAACCAATCCCAACATCAGAGTTCTCCACACCTTATTTGCATGGTCCCATCCAGTAATATGGTGGGAGTTACAAAGACTATGGCTAGAAGAGCCATTCCAAGGAATTCACTGCACTGCAGCCCACCCCTTGGCTTTGCTACCATTGACCCTTTCATACTTTAAAAATTAACAACTCCTTCATAATCAGTTTAAGAATTTCACAATCAGTTTAAGAATAAGCACACCCAAGGAAGTGTGTAAGCCAGGTACTTCATGCCTTTATCTCCCCCATTTTAAATAGCCAATTTCCAATTTGCCTGTCCCTATCAAACAATCATGCTGAGACAGCGTGTTCCTTCCTTTCTGAAGAATCTTCTGTTCTGCTTGGAACTTTGGGCATCTGCATCCGTAAATAAGCACAATCCAGTCCAGAGAAAACCATTCAAATTGCAGCAGCTTAACACCAGCTCAGTGTCAAACATCTTCCTTTTCACTTGGTTGGGTTCTGGTCAGCTCAGCCCTAGCCATCCCAGCTCGGTCGTGGGTACCAGCTGCAAGTTTGGGAGTCACACTCCTCCCTTCACTTCAGACCAGCCAGCACCTTCTTTCTCTCATCTTTAGCCTTCAAGGGCTAGTTCAACACCAGTAGGCATCCACACAGCTGCTTGTTCTTCAGACCAGCCACCCCTTCATCTCATCCCTAGCCTCCATGGGCTAGGTCTAAGAGTACCAGAGTAAGCCTGTTTCTTCATTGCTACACTTCCCACACTTCCATTCATCAAGTGGATCCAAGTGGTCACAGACTAGCAGCATACAAGCCTGCTACTCACCAGTTCCTTTTACCTTCTAGTCCAGGAAGGAGTTTCTCTCTTGGACCATGACTTTTTTTTTTTTTTTTTTCACTTTTAAAAGCTGAATTTTATGGTATGTGAATTTTGTATCAGTTAGAAAAAATCAAGACGTTCCAACAGTTGTCTTGATGGAATTTGTATGATCAGAATGTACTACTACATATTAAATCATGTAAGAACATTCAAATTAAAGCCAGTTACAATACAAAAACAAACAGTATTCCCCCCAAAAAACAAACTAGATTTAGATCCTATTTTCGAGGTTATGATGAAGATTGGTATTTAAAAACACTCTAACAGTGACTATGGCATAAAATATGTTTGAGAAATTGCAACTCTTTGTTATTAGACAGCTTCCAAATAAAATTGGCTAGTATATGGGATTTAGATCTTGGTATTAATTTTAATCAGTCTACTGGTAGCATGGTCCCTAAAGCACTTGACTGCTAACCAGAAGGCTGGCGGTTCAAAACCACCAGCCACTCCTCGGAAGGAAGGTTGGGCAATCTACTTCCATAGTAATACTGCCTCGGAAACCCAAGGAAGGGTCGCTATGAGTCAGTCCGACTCGGTGGCACATAACGGCAACAACTATTTTTGTCGCTATGTAACATCCCAATTTCTTCTTCTCTTAAACCATGACTTTCCTGCCTTGATGTACCCAAGGCCAAATAGCTTGAAATTCAAAAAGCCAGTCATTTTTTTTTCCTCTGCACATCCTGCCTTCAAATGCAAATCTTCTGTTCTCTAAACAGATCTGGATGGGTTTTTTCAAATACAAATTTCCTAACTCAGAATGCTCTGGGTAGGGCTCAGGTTTTCTACATAACCCCTCATACTCTACACACAGGACTTGGAACAAAAGCCTCTGTTTGTTTTGGGCAAATTCTATTTCCTCTTTTAGCATATCCAGTATTGGCTGGAGGCAGACTTATAGGCTCTCTGTTATCCATATTCAATACTCACTTCTAACATACAGCTAGGTAAGAACATTCTATATCCATAGTACATTCAGATAAACACATGATCCCAAACTCATAATCCTCTTTAAGATATTCCAGTTTCTTCTCTTCACCTTGATGATCTTCCCATCCTACTCATATGGCCTTGGGCCTCTGGCTGGGTGTAACCAAAAGCCCTAGGCTCTGGATCAATATCTCCTTTAATCAGCCTGCTGCTTTCCTGGGGCCTTTCTTCCCTCAGCTGCAGGCCTTTTTTTTTTTTTTTAATTAATGATTTTGAGTTTTGTTCTACCTTTTCCTCCATGCTATCCTGGACCTCCTATTGTGATCCCTTTCAGAGCAGTTAGCAGTGGTAGCCAGGCACCATCTATTTCTTCTGGTCTCAGAGGCTGGGGTTCACTTGCTCCATTAGTCCTTTGGACTAATTTTTTCCTGTGTCTTTGATTTTCTTCATTCTTCTTTGCTCCCTACAGGGAGAGACCAATAGTTGCATGTTAGATGGCCAGTCACAAGCTTTTAAGACACAGGGAGATTTTGAAAGGTTTTCACCAGAAGAGTGATGTGGTCAGGTTTGGTACCTTGGTAGGTTTTTGGTGAATGTCTTTACCACCTGCGTGTCCTCCATGATTCCATATACTATGTGTAACTTAATAGTAGAATGGATCACATTTGACTCTATGTTCCACTTGCATGCATTTCAAGAAGTTGAAGTAGGACCAAACGTGGATCCCTGCCCAGTGTGCAGTCAGGCCAAAACAGTTTCTATATACATTGAGTGATTAAGAAGAGAGGAAATTATTTATTGCAAAATGGCAATGCAAGGAGCCAGGAGCCAGTACCCAAATATGACTCCCCGAATCGAGGTCGTGATACAGTTTTGTAAGCTTCAGCACAGTGCGGTTATACATACTCATAAAAACTTCAGAAATTTGGGCGTACATTAACTGAGAATTGGCTGAAGCTTCCTTCGCCTCAGTTTAAAGGGACAGTCGATTTTTAATGCAGTGCGCTTGCATACCGGATGAGTCACATCGGCTTCCTTTCGTCAGTTCATCGGGTTCCCAAAGTTCCGAGCAACATTGTTCTTGTTTGTCTCACTGCACTTGTCCACAGGCCAAAGTTTTTCAAGTTGTCTCCTGAAACACATTAACATACTTTTGAACTGTTTCTTGGGGGATAACACGCAGAGGATTTGTGAATTGACCTTTTATTCCATTCATTTCAGGTAATAGGATGGGATTGAGTTTTGATTCATGAGATACAGTGTCCGCCTATGTGTCTTAACCAGGGTGGGGGTGATAATTGAGCTTTCATGCTATTCAGTTCTTAAGGAACTGAGTTGTCATATTTACTTACCTGCCTTCAACCGGGGATGCAGCCTGAACTTTGCTTCCCCTCGACTTCAAAGTCTTCCCTTCTAGGCTGAGAACTCTGTGAGGTGAAAGCTGAATCTTGAACTGTACCCCTTAAAGGGTCCTGTGCATGTTCTCTGCTCAGTGTGATTGTGGGCAGGGGAGCCCTCTCTGGGGGATCAGCCAAGTAACCAGTTTCTTCAGACTGAACTCTGAGTGTCCCCCTTCCCTGTGCAGGTGAGGCTTCTGCAGTGAGCTACTTCCAGAGAATAAAAATTTGCAGCCGAGAGGGTACACATCCTCACTGGGTTATTGTCCTGTATTTCAGGAAAGGACCTTGCCAATAGTAGACATAAAAGCCGTTTCCCCCTGAGGCCTAAAGTGGATCAAGCAAAAGATGTTACCAGTCCACCTCCAAATTCTTGTCTCAGTGAAAGGTATGAGGAAGCTGTTCTGCTGAGACAAATGTAACGTTTCTCTTCCGTTTTTCAAGTCAAGTATTGTTCTACACCTGATCTTTGTTTGTAGAAGTGCATCTGAGTTTCTCAATAATAGTTTGGCTGAGTCTGATAGAGGATCTTCTATTTTTAAGTCAATTCCTTTTAAGTTGAGACTTTTAATAGAGTAATTTTTACATCAGAAACATTTACTCTAGTGAATTGACTGGTTTCCTGTATATTCTTTTCTGTGACTGTTTAAGTGGCAAATATGAATAATGGAAAGCCTTAAATCTTCGACACATCAGTTTAAAATGTGTGTACTTAAAATCATTGACAAGAAAATGGTGCTGTTTTAGGTTCATATTCAATTGACATAATTTTCAAATTCAAAATACACAATTTCTAGAAGTTGAAATTTGTGAGTACTTTATGCACTGCTTTCACATTACTTAGTGGTTACTTAATTCTTCATAGATATTTTACTTTTTAAAAAGTAACAAAAATATATAAAAGTATAATTCTAACAACTGATGTGACTGAGTAGTCTTTTTTATTTTTTCCAGTAAGATCGTTAACTATTGATGTGTTGCTTTTTGTCATTTCTGTTATCTTTTCAATAATCCAAGGTATTTGTTTTGTTTTAGTCCTGTTCTACGATGTACACGTGTAACACCACAGAGAGAAAAGTCGGGTATGATCGAAAATAGCCTTCTTATTCTTAGAATACTGGAAACTTTAATACATATAAAACATAATTGTTTTTTCTTTTCTCCCCCCAGTGGTATGTGGAACTTTATTTCATACACCGAAACTTACAAAGGTATGCATTTCGTTTGGTTTATTTTTACTGTGGAATTATTGACACTTTGACAGCAGGGAGACCCAGATTCGATCCTCCGCCAACGTACCTTAAGCCACTACCTGTCTATTAGTGGAGGCTGCACATTCTATGATGCTGAACAGGTTTCTGTGGCACTTCCAGAGTAAGACTGATTAGGAAGAAAGGCCTGGCAGTTTGCTTCCCTAAAACTCAGCCAGTGAAATCCCTAGGGATCACTCCAGCCCAGTCTTGTTGTGCATGGGCTCGCCATGAATTGGGAGCTGACTCAATGGTAGCTAACATCTACCTTTGCCCTAAGCTTTACAGCAATATACCGAGCTGACTGCCCTGTGAAAACATTTCTTTCACTGCTGTCAAGTTGGCTCTGACTCATAGCGACCCCTCCTTGGCTTTCTGAGGCAGTATCACTAAGGAAGTAGATTGTCCAGTCTTCTGGTTAGCAGCCAAATGCCTTAGGCACTAAGTCACCAGAGCTCCTGTGAAAGCGTTAATGAATGAAAAAAATCCTTAGTCAGTGCATTTCCATGAAGTAAATGTTGGACACTATTGTTGTGGGTTGCTGGCGAGTCATGTATGCAGAGTAGAACTGTTGCATGGGGTCTTCAAGGCTATGACCTTTCCAATGCAGATCGCTAAAGTTAATAACACAAGCCTTACGAGTAAGTGACTTACAGAATTTTGTGATGATTTGGAAGCAAACCAGAAAGAGAACTCCTTATTCATGGCT